TCTGTATGACAGTCTCTAGGTCCATCCACGTCTCTACAAATGACCCAATTTTGTTTCTTTTTATGGCTGAGTATTTTTTTTTCTTGAAGGATAAATTTATTAATTTATTGAACAAATACTTACTGTACCAGGCATTGTACTTAACAGCACAGTTCCAGAAGCTGCCTTGTTAGTCTGATTCTGCCTTTGCTGGGGAACCTGTCATCTGCTTGTGCAACATCACTCATGGGCCTCATCAGACAAGTTGTTTTAAAGAAAATACTAGACACCATTTCATTTTGCCCATAAGTATCTTATATGCCTTTCTCATTGCTAAGGACTTTAAAAAACCCATAATTATCATGCCATTATTTACACTTAAAATTTACAATTATTCTTTAATACCGTCTAATACCCGCTAAATATTTAAGCTTCCTTAATTGTCTCAAAAGTGTATTTTTACAGTTGGTTAGTTTGAATTAGCCCTCACACAAGGGCCACACATTGTCTCTTCTCTGTTACTCTTTTTTTTTTTTTTTTTTTTGGCCGCACTGAGCGGCATGTGGGATCTTAGTTCCCAGACCATGGATGGAACCTGCACCCCCTGCAGTGGAAGCACAGAGTCTTAACCACTGGACCACCAGGGAAGTCCCTCTGTTACTCTTTAACACCTACCCTAATCCTCTCTCCCTTTTTCAAACACATTTGTTAGAAACTTTGGGTAAAATATACCATATTCTGAATTTAATTTGTTCTTTGTGACGTCTTTAACTTGCTCTTCTAGCTCCCCTTTTTTTTTGCAAAGCCTATAGATTAAGAGGCTTGCTTAGACTGAAAATAGTTTCAAGCAAGAATTTTTCATAGGTGGTGCCACGCTTGGGGGCATACGGTGTCAGGCTCTGACGTTTGTGGTGGTTCTAAGATTGATGAGTGAGTTCAGGTGACGTTGGCTCAACCCCTCCATGGTAAAGTTCCCCATCCACCTTTCACCAGGTGGTTTCAGCAGCCAGTTTCGTTCTTTGCCTAGATTCCATTATATCATTAGGGGTAAGATAGGCACCTTTTGAACCTGTGTTTTATGCTGTCACTAGAAATTATGTAACAAGCCATCAGAACCCATTCATGTAATGTAACAGAACTTTAAAAAAATTTCATTCTGTAGCTGTACTTTTATCTGCACAATACAACTACCTCATTCTTTGTGTTTCTATTTCGCTTTTTAAAATGATGTTTAATTATTTAGAGCAACATCCAATGCTTAGGATTACAAAAGCATATCCCCAAGAATAATTATTAAATCTGTTTTAAATTTCTTTACTTCGTCCCTCTTTTTAAATACTGATTTAAATTTAAATTGCAGGGAGAGCTCTATAATTATTTTAGCATTAGTTGAAGTTGTTTCAGGCTGATATGTTTTCGTTTCTCATTTCTTTGTTGGGAAAATAAAGTAATTGAGAAAGTGTCTCATAAGATGAGATTTATAAGAACTTGCATGCAAGGTAACCTCGTTTCTGAGGAATAATTTTTGGGAACAAAATCTTTCCTTATACTCAGTTATTTATGGTGCTCTACTGAAAACTTCTTATTTTTAAAAATTTATCATGGTTTCATGAAACGCATATATCAAGAGTAAAGTTTAAAGAAGGAAGAAAACTAAGAAAATAGGATTCTCTTCACCTTTTCATTCTCAAGTCCTATAATTTATTTTGTGTGTGTATAACACCGTTGAGACCTCACAAGAGAAGTTTCTTTCAGATTTCAATATTAGGAAAAGTTGATGTTTTTTGCTTTCAATAGTAGAATTAGAATGTTCAGATATAACTGTACAAGGCTTTAATTATACATTCTTCCTTTTGTTTCATTTTATTTTCCTTTCTCTTCTCCCTCCACTATTTTTCTATCTCTCCTTGAATTTTTCATCTTAAAACAGATAATATCCTATTGTAGTGTATGTGTTTATGTAAGCAATCTAAAATTCATTTAGAAATGAGGGGAGGGTATAAATACATAAGGAAACCAATGAAAATACATGTGAGTACATGATCACAATTAGGTTCTCATTTCATTAATTTTCATAGGTGGAATCTTTAATAGTAAATTATTGGGTTGGCCAAAAAGTTCATTCAGGTTTTTCTGTAAGGTGTTGGAGAAAAACCCAAATGAACTTTTTGGTCAACCCAATACTTACAATTACTGAAACTTAACAGTTACTTAAACTTTTTTTTATTTACAGAAATTTAAGCATTTAAAATTAATTAATCTTAATTTTTAAATTTTTAGGATTATAGCTATGATTTATTGTGTATTTACTATGTTTTGGGCACTATGCAGAGTGCTTTACATGTATTATCTTATTTAACTTTCAGACAACAACCTTTTGTGGTACATGACGGTGAGAAAACTAAGGTATGGAGAGCTTTAGTAAACTTGCCCAAGATCAGAGGTTGGAGCCAGGATTTGGTTCTAGGCAGTCTGATTCCAGAGCCAGTGGTCCTATCCATTAAACAATATTATAGTATTCCCTAAAGCTGTTTGCTTCAAAAAATACCAGTGCTTGTCCCACCCCCTGAGGTTGTGACTTAACTGGGCTGGGACCCAAAATTTTTAAAAGATTTCCAGGTGATTCTAATGTGCAGACAAGTTTGGAAACCATTGTAATACTGCTTTGCTTGGGACGTAGCTGACACAATGGCCACCTGAGAGCTATTCCTTCCTGCCAGTTGATGAGATAACATCAAAAATGTGTTTCTAAAATGAAGCATGAAAGCTCTACCTGTGGGAGAAATTATAGCATGAAAGGGCAAAAGGAAATAGCATAATTCATTCATATTACCAGCATTTGTAGAAGTTATTTTAGGATTAACTCAGTGTTATATTGACTCTGACTTGTGTATATAAAGCTGGAAACCAAGCTTGGTGATGCATCAAAATCCACAAAACAAGTGCTGTATCTTTCATGAGGGACAGCATGACTGTGTACAAGGGCATTTTTGTAGACTACTCTCCCCTCTTCCTTACGTCTGAGTCAGTTTAGCCTTAAAAGGAGACTAATAGAAAATAGCCGAACTCAAAATTTTCATTTACTTTTTTTTTTTTTTTTTAAGGTCATAGCCTATCTCCTAGTGGGCTGTAAACTCCTTGTAAAGAGAAACCGACTGTATCTTATAAATTTTGTTCTCTCAACTTTGGCACCAGGCTGCACATACTAGAAACCCAATCAATACCTGAGTGCTGTGTTTCCTACAGTGCTCCTACATTGATGCACTAAAGTTGTAACTAATAATTCTACCATTCATCTACTGTCTGCATCTGTTATATGCAGGGTGTTTTACATACATGTCACTAATCTTTACACACACCTACCCATTATCCTCCTATCTGAGGAGAGGAAACTGAGTCTCAGAGAAGTTAAGGAATTTGCCCAAGATTGTACAGCTGAGTAAGTAACGAAACTGGGGTTTGAGCCATGTCTGTCTGATGCCAGAGCACACCCACTTTCCTTTACCCCAAACACTCCAGAGGGTGGACTCCCAGACGTGATTAAAAACTCCCAAGGAGAAACTGTCTGGAACAATTTGTCATAATGAGGCCTATTATAATAGGCCTTTGGATAATTTGGCCTGTATGATCGCCTATATTTTCCCATAGTAAAAAAAAAAACTTCTAAACATAATTTTTTTTTTTTTAAGATTTAATTTTATTTATTTTTGGCTGCGCTGGGTCTTCGTTTCTGTGTGCGGGCTTTATCTAGTTACGGCAAGTGGGGGCTACTCTTCACTGCTGTGCGCGGGCTTCTCATCGCGGTGGCTTCTCTTGTTGCAGAGCACGGGCTCTAGGCGCACAGGCTTCAGTAGTTGTGACACACGGGCTCAGTAGTTGTGGCTCACGGGCTCTAGAGTGCAGGCTCAGTAGTTGTGGCACATGGGCTTAGTTGCTCCACGGCATGTGGGATCTTCCCGGACCAGGGATCAAACCCATGTCCACTGTGCCACCAGGGAAGTTGCTCTAAACATGAATTTTAATTTGCTTCCATTTTGTCTGTTTTAAATAGTTCAGGTGTATCCAGCTTTCTACTGTTAAAGATACCACCATTAACATTTTTGTGCATAAATCTTTGCCCACAGTTGGAATTATTTCTTTAGGGTACATGTTTAGAAGTAGAATTGGATTAAGGAGTATAAGCATTGCTGACTCATACTACCAAATTATTTTTCGCAAAGTGTACTGATTTAAATATCCACCAGCAGCATGCAAGTACTCGTTTCATCTTACCCCTCCAGCATTTTTTTTTTTTTTTTTTTGCTGCTCCTTGTGGCCTGTAGGATCTTAGTTCCCTGATCAGGGATTGAACCTGAACCTGTGCCCCCTGCAGTGGAAGCACAAAGTCTTAACCACTGGACCACCAGGGAAGTCCCTGCATTGGTATCCTTTGTAAAAAAAATTTTGCTCATTTGATAGTTTTTAAAAATCTCATTTTTTATTTGCATTGTTTTGATTACAAGCAAGTTTGAACTTTTTCTTATGATTATTAGCCCTTTGTGTCTCCATAGATGAATTCCTCTTCTTTGTCCATTTAACTTTTGACAACTTCCTTAGTGTTTTCCTTATTCATCTATCCTTTTATACTCTTCAGTTATTAAGACTATAAAGCCTTTATCATTTTACCCAATATTTCTCCAAGTTTTTATTCTAAGTTTTATTTTTTGACACACAGAAGTTTTGTTTTAAATATTTTAATCTGTATGTTTCCTCTGTATCTTCTGTCACCTTTAATGCAGATTAAAATCCAGTGAATTAAGTAGGTATTCTCTTATTTTTGCTCTAATTCAATTTTTTTTTAAATTTAATCTTTGACTTACCTGTGGTGTACTTTGATAAAGTAGTGTGATATATTTAATTTGGTCTTTCCCCTAAATAGTTACTTTTCCTAGCTCCTTTGTTTATTGATTTGTGATGGCTATTTTGATCATATATTTGATTCTTACTGAATCTAATTTTTGCTTTTACTTTTCTTTTTGCAGATCCTAGTCCCTGTGACTTTGTAAGGAAATGGTAAGGCTATAGATATAGTACCATTTTCCCAGACTTTACTAGCTGAATGGGGCACTCAATCTGGGGCATTTGAGGTGAAAGCCTGTCTTGGGGGTTTTGAGAAGATTCCTATGCTTTCCCTTTGTCATAAGGCCCTTTTCTCATGGTAATTCCTGTGGGAAAAAGGAAAGAAGAGAGGTGAAGTGATTAAAATGAAGATTTAGGAGAACTCTTCTTATATTCACTCAGTGCTTACTTGTTTGCTCAATGCTATGTGTGTCACATAATAGGGCTGAACCTTTAAGGGACTTGGGATTCTGCACTGACAATCTCATGTCATAGATTTTGTGAAGCTCCAAGTTAATGTATCCCAGTCTCCTCTTGCCTCTAATTCAAATTCAGTAGTTAATGAAATTTCAAGAAAGTGACCTCTATGAAAAAAAAAATGTGTGTATGTGTGTACATACAGTGTATAAACTAGATGCCTTTTGAAAATAGATGCTTACTCTTGGTTTGGCTAAGATATACTTAGAAGAGGTAACAGAATAGAATCATTAAAGAGAAAATACCAAGGGTTCATATCAATGGCTCATATAGATGAGAAGTAAATAATGTCAGATTTTATTTTTATCTATCTTTTAATAAGTCAGTTAAAACCATTCATATTGTTATTGTTTAACATTTACATTTATTATTATTAGTTATACTTATTTTGCATTTTCTATTTACTATGCTTTCTAGTTGTTTTTTCCTCACCTCTTTTAGGTATTAAATACTACTACTTTATTTTATTATTATTTTTTTTTTCTTTTGCGGTACGCGGGCCTCTCACTGTTGTGGCCTCTCCCGTTGCGGAGCACAGGCTCCGGACGCGCAGGCTCAATGGCCATGGCTCACAGACCTAGCCGCTCTGTGGCATGTGGGATCTTCCTGGACCGGGGCACGAACCCGTGTCCCCTGCATCGGCAGGCGGACTCTCAACCACTGCGCCTGCTACCTTATTTTTATGTAATACTTTGCTGTTTAAAAAGGTTTTTTTTCTCACAAGAATCCTGAGAAGTCAATAAGGTGGATATAATCAACTAGATTTTACTGAGAGAAAATGAAATTAAGAGAAACTATGTCACTTTCCCAAGGTTGTATGATGGCTGAGTAGAAGATCTGGTAGAACTAACATTTACTAAGTATTACTGAATATCCACTTAAAATACCAAATTACTTCAAATAAAGGTATGCTGAATGAGCAGACTCTCCAATTACTAGATAGACAGTGAAACCGTTTACACCTGGTAAGTTTTTATACTTAAAAAAAGACTGTGAAGAGAGTGTTGGTTTTTTTTGTTTGTTTGTTTTTTTGCAGTACGCGGGCCTCTCACTGTTGTGGCCTCTCCCGTTGCGGAGCACAGGCTCCAGACACACAGGCTCAGCGGCCATGGCTCACGGGCCCAGCCACTCCACAGCATGTGGGATCTTCCCAGAACGGGGCATGAACCCGTGTCCCCTGCATCAGCAGGCGGACTCTCAACCACTGTGCCACCAGGGAAGCCCAAGAGAGTGTTTTTAAAATGTCTTTGTTTTTACTGTTATACTACTTGTTGCTTTTGTTTTATTGCTTAATTTGGTTTGATTCTGTGAGAAAATTGTTCTATCTCCATTTTCTATCCCTGTCCCAGTCCTCTCAAACAATCTTGTTAAACAAATGTGCTGTACCTGATGGTTATAGAAGAAAATATTTTCTGAATATAAGCAAAATAGTCAAGTGTAAAAGAGCATTTTGACTGACAGAGAGAATTATTTGAGTTACCCAATCAATTCAGACCTGAAATCATTTCCATAATTGTTGCTATATAAACATATATTTATTGCTCTGCACCTAAGGTAAGGATTTCCAAAACTTTCTTAGCTGTTGTCAAACTATAGGAGACTAATTATCAATGAAGACATGGAACAGCAAGGGAATCCTTATTAAAAAAAAAATTTACCTTCAAGAGTTAAAATCCTTCGACCACATTTTCTTGTTTCTGCACAGGATCACGACTAGACATTGTGAGGTAATATAATACCTGAGAGAGAAGGGAAGCCTGCCTTAAGATGAAGAGATGTAGGTTGCAGATGTAGCTATGGTGACATAATACACAATAAGTGAATGAAAAGGAGAGATATTAGTCAGACCTCCACATAGGATTAGCAGATGTTAATGAGATAATTTCCAATAGAAGTAACAATCCAATTTAAGTATCTATAGGAATAAACGAGGAAACTGTCAACTGTCTTGTGTAAAATGATACATTAAAAGAATATTGTTTAGCTGATGAAGAAAAGGTAAGGAGGGAAATCTTGGCTTGGAGGTGATGATGGGAGCCAGAAGCTGACTTGCTTGCAAAGATTAATATATAATAAAATGTTCTGTCTGCACTAAGGCTTGCTGTTTTCTTCTACCAAGCCACCTCCCCTGGAGTTGGCTCAGGCTGTCTCAGCAGGGCTCAAACAGTACCTGCATGTCAAAACCATTGTTTTATTGAGTAAGGGTGTCGTTTTTTGGGTTTTTTTTTCCTTCTGGCAATGGACAGTGTCTTCATTGTTTCCTGACAGTAACATGTCTTAGGGATTGCATTGTATCAATTACATAGCAGATCTCAAACTTTCACCACGAAAGGATCTTTTGGTTATCTCAATCCACCACCATGATTTCATGTTTGGAAATATTTTTTGTTGTTATTGTTCATTATATTTGTTAACTTAAAAAAAAATTAAGGACATGCAAAAGTACTAAACAGAGTCTTCTATCAGCGTGAAGTAATGTATGGAGTTGATATAGTTCAGAAACAAATTTGGTGTTTTGGGGAGCCTCAACAGCCTGTTAGTGGGTGGTGTCAGATTCCATTTGATTTTCTGAGATGTTCTAAAGGTTGTGGACTCCCATTATTGTCCTCATAGATCTCCTAAGGTTTGGGGAACTTTAGGCTGGGAACACTTGAGGTAAGCATCAGAGTAGTCCTGAGGGACAAAATGCAGATAGGTTAGTTGCAATAGGAAAGGGGGTAGTTAGAAGAGTCCAGAATATGACACTGGGGGAAAAGGGTGTAGAAGCGGTATACTGTTCTTACTGCCTTCAAACCTGTATTTTACCTAGCAAACTCTTTGAGTGATAACACAGTTTAAACAATCTTAAATGTATTACTTTATCTGGTTTACTGATGGTTCCATGATTTTCCCTTATAAGATGCTTAAACTCAGTTTATATTTTAAACAATTAAATACCAATTCAATTCAATTCAATTAGCATTTACTAAGCATTTACTATTATACATGCAAGGTATCATACTAGGTGCTGTGAATGAGAAAGGAAAAAGGAACTAACATTTATTGAGTACTCACTCCATGGTTAGAATGTGCTAGGTACATAACCCTCCAAGATGGATATAGTTATTTTTATTTACAAATGAGGCTAACTGCACTGGCCTCCTGTTATTTTTCAGACATATAGGCATGCTTCTGCCCCAGGGTGTTTGCACTTGCTATCACTGCTTCAATGGGATGATCTTTTCTTGAAAAGTTTATATACCTTATCCTTGTTCAAATATAAGCTGATCAGTGATGCCTTCTTTGACCACCCTATTTAAAATTGCAACCCCGTTCCCCTCTACATACTCCTCATCCCCTTACTGACTTTATTTTTCTTTGTAGCTCTTATTGACATCTTATATACTATGTATTTATTTTTTCATTATTGTCTTTCCGCCCTGACTTGAGGGCAAAGGTTTTGTCTGTTTTGTTCCCCTATATACTCTCAGTCCTAGAACACTACTTGTTACATAGTAAGTGCTCAATAAATATTTGTTGAACAGATGAATGAAAGCTGAGAGAATTAAGTAACTTGCTCCGGGATAAGAAAATAGCACTTCATTTAAAAATAAGAAAACACAGAATATCCATTGTTGGTACTGGAATAATAATCTCTTACGTGAGAAAAATAGTTGGATCAAACGTTCCATGTTTCTAAGATTGAGTGCTGCCACCATCACACTGGCCTCAGGGGAAATGTTCCATTGTTAATACTGTGGCCTGGGTGTGTGCCTAGAATCCTGACTTGCATTTCTCTGCTATCACAGCTAAGGCAAGGCATTAAGGGGCAAATAAGTCATTAGTAAAGGCTGAGGGACAACAAAAGTTGTTGAATTAAACAGAGAGTAACATGGAAATAGATAAACTGATTGAAAGATTTCAGCTTGATCTTCAGGATGGATGGCCCAGTTTTGTGACTGTACAACCTCGGGAGTTCCTGTTAATCCCCCCTTGCCTCCTCCCACTTTTTAAAAGGAGCTTCATGATGCATCAATCACCATTTAATTAGGAAGACTTCATGTAAGGGTTTGCCCAAATCCTACCTGACACCAGGCAGGGCCAGAGCTTATTTTAACATAAAGAGTTTAGAGCCTATTAGAGAGCTCAGGCAAGTGTTAGGGAGAATGCTTTTCGTCTCACCTGCCTTTTTGTACATAGAAGCACTTTCCTTGAGTAATTCTGGCCTCTTTCCTTATCCCATAATTAGACCCCCCAGGGGGTAGAAGTGACATTTGTTTGATGGGATTGGGAGAGAGAACTGGTCACTTCTGGGTCCTCTCTCTTTGGGACCTGCTTATCTACACTGAATGATCTTTGTGATCTGCTTTCTGTCACATAGCAAACTTAGCCTCTGAAGGGGGAGGCTTGCAGCCTTGGGGGACAAGTTCAATACAGGGATGTCAGGGATCTGCAGGACTCTCTTCAATATCATCTTATCAATAACAGAGAAAGTATTTTTTTTCTACTTGTCTGACTTCTGTGCCTATTTTTCAGTTAGTTACTAATTGTGGTAGGCAAAAAGGGTTGTTATTTATTGGGTCCTTCAAACTCCAAGCAAGTACATAAATAATTATAGCATGAGGTATAGTAAAATATGTGGTGTATTAGTCTGCATAGGATAGGCAATGCTGCAGTAACAAACAAGGTACAAAACTCTCAATGACTAGATGCAATAA